AAACAGGGAAGTACCGCCGTGTAATCCATTTATTTCAACAAAGTAACTGTATTCTAAATACCACCTTTTTAAACGGTAACTGTAACGGAATACAGTTAGTCATATTTTGTATTTTAAATACGTAACGGCGGTACATGTATTCCGTTACTCCCCAACACTGTGTATTATATTCAGACAAAGAGACGCTTGAGCTGTCACTACTACTGTTTGAATATTTACATTGTATAAGTCAGCATTTTATTAATATTCTGTTTTCTATCTATAGTTTTAATTGATTTGAAATCTCATAGTTATCTGAGTATATGTGACAGCAGAAGGAAATATGGCCACTGTGGTTGCTGACAAAATGTTTCTTCATAGCAACCTGCGAGTCATCGCCACACATCGAAGGAGAATCACAAAGAGAAGCACAAAGAAAATCACAAAGAGAAGCACAAAGAGAAGCACAAAGAGAAACACAAGAAAAACCACAAGGACCACAAGACTCCAGTGAGAACCCATTTACACCATGTTTGAAAGTATGACAATACTGCACATTGTACAGTTTGCACAGGTGGTAACTTGTGTCATGTCTTTCGCATGGCACTATATGGCATTCTTGTAGCATCACACCTCTAAAGCCACATCGTCCGAGGTTTTCAAAAGCAGAAGAAGTGGCTCAAGCTTGGACGCTATCCAACATAAGGTCAAATCCCGTCAAATCTTCTTCCCGGTGAGGGATTTCATGGATGTACTCACATGAATAATTGTCCCCACAGAAGCGGTTTCTTGACAGTCAAGCTGCCGTGTTTGGCGTGATCTTCCGTGCTGTTAAAGCTGACAAGAAGCAGGGATACCAGTTCATTGCTTACATGGACAAAACCACCAGCAGACTTCAAATCATTCTAGATGACATTGTTCCTGATAACAACTGGAGGCTCTGTGCTGATGGAGCCGTGTTGAGCATGCACAAAGTCAAAGTGAGACACTGTCTGGCTTATTTTTGGATGTTGAACTAAGCATAGCACGAAAAAAACGCACCTAAACCTTTCTGCCATTTGTCGTTTCGATTTGTTCTTTCTAGGCTAAAATTAACTGGGGAGCAGAATGCAACCAATATGACACCGCGATTACAGCGGAAACTGGTCTTGTCGGTCGAAACCCTGCAGCTCGGTTGAAGGTGGACTGGAATCGGTTACCGTCTGATCTCCAGCATCGTGCAAAGACGTATGAAACTTCACAGACACTGTCACGCATGTCATACAGACAATATGAAACCATCTGATATTTGTAAATTCTTTTGCAGGATGTATAAGTACATTTGTGCTCACGTGACAGCCGGCTTGATTCAGGAAAAGGACAAAAACAGCGACAAGCAGCTCTCGCTTACTGTGGCTGTAATATCTGACACGATCATCGACCTGATTTGGAAAACACCGAGAGTACGAACAGCAAAGTTGTTGTTTCAAAATCACATGCTTTGATTTTTCTCACAATAATTATTCTGTTTACAGAGCACTGTTCATAAGCGGGCTTTGCATCTTCCCATCACTCTGCCAAGTAACGAGATCAAAGATCTTACTTCCTTCAGTGACGTCTCTGGAAAGGTCAAGCACTTGTTAGCTGCGGCTGGCGCAGGTAATGGCTCGTGCCTGTCATTTAAAGGTGGACAGGCTGTGTCCTTTTCTGACATCATTTAATTAAAAAATGTACGTTTTTTCCCCTCCTCAGCTGAATGTAGCTTCACCGGCAATACACTGACCACATTCAACAACAAGAAATTAAAGAACGAGATGCCCTCAAACTGCTATCAGGTTCTGGCGCAGGATGGCACAGACGAGCTGAAATTCATCGTTCTGCTGAGGAAAGATCGCACTGGACAGAAGCAGATCAGTGTGAAGATTGCTCACATGTAAGATTTCATTAAATACGCGAAAGAAACTCTGTTTTTTGACAAAACTGAGTCTTTTTATTTCTTCTCGTGCAGAGACATTGACCTCTATCAGAGGAGAACCAGTGTGACTGTGGATGTGAACGGGCTGGAAATACCCACGAGCCACCTGCCGTATCATTATCCCCGAGGTTTCTATGCAGTCTAAAACCTTTGAATCGGATTTTGCAAACAGATCTTTGTGTTGAAAAAACGAGAGTAATCATGGAACCTGTTTGTCTTACAGCTGACATCCAGATCAAACAAAGTGGCGAAGGCATCTCTGTATATGCAGCTAGCTTTGGTCTTCATGAAGTCTACTTTGACAAGAAGTCATGGAAGGTAAAAGCAAAACTGATAACTCTGGTTATGAGCTTAAAAGGAAAAACGAAAAAGACCAAGAGAGATGGAAATTCAGTTAAAATTGACGTCTGATTCATTTCATTTCATTTCATTAATTTTTTTATTTATTTCACACTTGGTACAAAAAATCAAACAAACCAACCACACTTTCTATCAAAAGCACTACAACCATGTGTGAAAAGGAGCAGGAAGAAGAAAATATTCTTATTAAACCCCGCCCCCTATCTACAATCCAATTTATATTACAAGTGGGCACCAAAAATCAGGGAACAAACTAACATTAACATTTATCTCCGGTCCTAACCCAAACCAAACAACACATTTACAATCAGAATAACCGCTCCACATAGTAACAAGGAGAAAAATTAAAATTAAAATAAATAAAACAAAAAATTATAATGGATCCTTTTTCAATGAACTCCAATTTCATTCACATTCTTCGTATTGAGTTATCATTTTAAGCATGTAACACTTTTTAAAACAATGTAAATTTATACAATTCTTTAAATTATAATGAAGTGAGTTCCACAGTCGTGTACCTCTAACCGTTGGACTCATTAATCTTTGTGTAGTCCTAGCTAGCTGATGCTTAAAATAACATTTCCTTCTGCTGTCTTCTCCCCCTGAACACAATAAAAATACTCTTTGTAACTTAAAGGGCAAAATATTATTTTTAGCCTTAAACATAATTAATAGTGTCCGTAATTTCACTAAATCTCCTAATTTTAATCATTTCGATTTTATAAATAATTTATTTGTATGTTCTCTATATTTAACGTTATGAATCATTCGTATCACTTTCTTCTGTAATAAGTTTAGAGGTTTTATAGTATTCTCATATGTATTCCCCCAGACTTCAATACAGTAACTAAAATATGAGAAAAACAATGAAAAATATAAAATGCGCATTGTTTTTAATCACGTGATCCTACGACGCAGATTAAAGTTGTGGACTGGATGAAGGGGAAGACTTGTGGGCTCTGCGGAAAGGCTGACGGGGAGACCATGCAGGAGTATCGCACACCCACTGGATGGATAGCCACGACAGCAGTTAGCTTTGCTCATTCTTGGATTCTGCCAGCTGAGAGCTGCAGAGACGCCGCTGGTAAGACAAAGATCTCTGATGTAATCATGGCAAGTCTTCATCTATCAGGACCCCTAAAATCCCTGCTGTTACAGAGTGCCGTATGAGGCATGAATCGGTGCAGCTGGAGAAGCAGGGAAACATGCAAGCTCAGAACTCCGAGTGCTACTCTGTCGACCCTGTACTGCGCTGCATGCCTGGGTGCTTCCCTGTGCGCACCACCAACGTCACTGTTGGCTTCCACTGCCTTCCAGCTGGTGAGTCTACAAAGATTAAAGATGCATCATCGTAGAGAAAAACACTGAGTTTCTCATTATTTTTGCTCCCTTCACGTCCGCAGGTTCCAGCCCCTCCAGCATGTATAAGAGCGTGGACCTGATGGAAACTACGGAGAGTCACCTCGCTTGCACCTGCACAGCTCAGTGTGCTTAACAACAGCACTGTCAGTCTCAGTCTGTACCGAATAAGACTGTTTATTACATTTATTGTAACACAGAGACAATAGAAATGAGATCATCTGTGAAATAAAGTGTGAAGCTGAACGCACCCATATAAATTCAGTAATTGCCAGTTTTCCTTCTGGCTTAAATAAGTGATCCATATTCTCCATCCACTTCCCTGCTTTCTGTGATATCCACATAAATGCTTCCCTTATACAGAGTGGTGACTGCAATTAATTCGCACATGCCAGATGACAAGTGCTGTGTAATTCTCCAAATTTTGGTATCGATCCAAACACTGAAAGTGGGACTATTAACGTATAAAGGCAGCTTATGTAGAGAAGAGCAGTGCGTTATCATTTATTAGATACATCATAATCATTTTGCAAATTCTGAACGCCTTTTAAAGACTAATACTGTGATTTTTACTTTACACAATAATTACTTAAACCACTAAAACACATCTTTCAGCTTTTTGTGTAATTTGAAAGATTTTTTTGGACATGGAATGTAAATATGCCTGTTTCCAAACAGCTTTGGGTCAACTTCTGTTGTTTAAATGTGCTTTAGGCTATGAATGAAATTAAACTTAACAGGATAGAAACAAAGTATTGATCTGATACCCATACCCAAATATATTTGGATCAATCCGTCCACCTCTACTGTTGACTTCGAATGAACTAGTGATTCAGAAACACACACAGTGATGTCCTAAAATCAACAGAAGTTTTGTATACACTCATTTTGTGCAAAGGAAGAACATTGAAACACACATTAATGAATGATGCCGTGTTTAGTAGACAAAACCAAGTGTATTCTATTCATATAGATAAAGTATTTTATTTTACCTCTTAATAAACACACCCATTGAATCGCTGTAATTATTGGTGCCATGGTATTCTTTTTATAGTGCATTTTGTTTTCCAGTCTCAGTCCACCACAGAGGAATGGGAACCAGGAGAGGCAGTGATGATAAAAAAAAATCAGTGATTACTTCCCCGATAGAAGTCAAAACTATAATGAGCGTGAACGTGAACATGTCATTTAACATTTGAGAGGTAAATAACGGCCGCCTGTCAACACAAAGCTCCTAAAAGAAAAGTTCATGACAAATCATGTTAACGTCACAGTGGTCTAAAGTCACTATCTTCTACATAATATGTAAACTGTGCAAGATGTTACATTCTTCCTATTCAAAGCAGCAGATATACTACCTGTTATAAACCTAACAGCAACATTTACTGGAAAAATGCAGCCGTCACTCAGTCACATTCTCAGTGTTGTAAACAGAGAGCCGCCATACTTGATTTGATTTACCCAGTCACATATTGCATCAGCAGCATCTAAATGTCAGGTATGCCAATTCATGATTTACAGTACCATAAATAAACTAACTACATACTATATGCAGCACATTAATACAGATCCAGCAAACCAGAACGTCACTCTTAACGCTCTTTCCTTCTTAAGCTGTTTAATCGTTTACAGTCCATCTGTGGGCCTTTGGCATCCACCCATCAGACGCATTTGTGAGACATAAACACTGGACATTAATGACACGTCTGATTCAAGTGATGGGAGTTTTTGGCTTCAGATGGAGCTGTTCTTCTCCTGTGAGAGTGTGTGGTCCTCGCTGTACTGTTGGTGCTGGACGAAAACATCTGCACAAAACATGCCCGATTCCTCCACATGTTCCCCGTTTGTCTTTGGTTGCACTGAGCTGCAATCACATCGAGGGGAAAACTTCAAATTAAGTTCATGCAGGTACATTACGCCATGCTTATTACTAATTCAGAAACTGTGGTGCACATAAAGCAACCGCACCTGTTTTCTGGGATGAAGCAAAGCGTGCGATACAGGTCGGTGGTGGAAGCCGACGCGAGCGCGACACACCTGGGTGTGGGGGAGGCTGTGTCTGGATGACATTTGATGAGCTTTTCTGGAGCCGCTGACGCAGCCGCCTCTGTTTCAGCTGCTGGGAAAAAAAGAGGCAGATTTAATGACTGCTGGAATTGATGGAAATTACTCATCACTTAAAAAGAAACTTAGTCATAAGTCTATATGGATATATTTTCCTTTTTTCAACTCCTGTTAATATGTAACATTTTCAAACCATCTAAAGCAACTGCAGCTCTTCATTTTAGGGAAATTGATAGAAAAGTGAGAGACTCACATATCAAAAAGGCACTTTTAGATTTTAACAATGGGGTTTTCTTTGAGTCTGCAGATGGACTCAAGTTTAAAAACTGGTGTTTGAGCCATGTTGCTCGATCCTCTTCAAAGGCCTTCCTCTGCAAAATGAACCAAGAAAAAGGTTTTAAAAACAGTTCAAACACTGAAGTCAGTAACCTGTCATATGCACACAACTTTGCACAATATTGTAAACTAATATTTGTTTTAATCACCTCGTGGCTCAGTCTGATGGCTGCCTCTGTAAAGTTCTTCCTCTCCCTCTCAAAGATCTTCCTCTGCTCCTCCAGAGTCTTCCACTCCTCCCCGAGGCGCTCCTTCTCTTGAAGCATGTAGCAATTGCTTAGCAGGGATGCGGTTTCCTCATCACATGCAGAGCTTACCTGATGCTATAGGGAAGAAAGGAACGTGGATGGATTAATCAGCAATTTATTGATTATTTATAAAACAAAACACAAACAACAGTAAGTCGGGTGTTCATTCCAGAGTAACGTGAGAAGTAGCAGACATCTCTGATCCTGTTTTTGGTAAATGTATATTACCTTTCACTCAACACCGATAAATATTAAAGACACTTTCTCTCTCAGCTTTTAAATCCACACAACCTCAGGGCTGATTCACCCGTACCTGCAGGAGCTGCTGCTGTGTTTGAATAAAGTCTTTGCACTGCTGGATCTCCAGCTTCAGTCTGTCCATCTCTTCCTCCTGAGTCTCTTGTGGAACAGCATCAGTGTTTTTGCTTTCCACCATCTGAACCAAGGATGCTAAGCAAAACGCCCAAATAATTCATCAGATTTAAACGTGTCTTATAAATACTGAATTAACAATAAGTAAACACCAAACACAAAGTGACAGAGCCGCTGTATATAAAATAAACCATTCATTATCTTTTGCTTCCAATCAGCTCATAACATAACAGGTCCATGTGTGAATACTGACTTTTAATTCTTTGAGCAATCACAGCAGAGGCTTCAGTTAATAATTTAAACTATTATTTGAATTAGTGATGAATCGTTGATGTCACAGTATTTTACCTTGGCTGTCCAGTCTTTCCACGTGGCTCTTAAGTCTTCTCCACTGGAGGCGAATACTGTTGGTCAGTTTCTCCCGAGCATGAAAGCAATAAAGCTCCACACTTTCCTTACTGGAATCGAACACCTCTTCCTCTTCCTCCTCCGATGTGCCCTGGAGTGAATAAATCAATCAAACATTTTCCAGTCTGCTGGTAGCACATCTAACAAACATTTTTGAACGACTAAGTGAAACAAAGAAGGAGGCTGATTGTTTAAAATTGCGAGGAAATGTCATCGGCAGCTTTGAAATGTGACGGAAGAGTCGCAAAAGTACAAAGTATAGAAAAGGTGATCAAACACTACCTGTACGCCACTGTGTTCAGGTTTGTCGCTTTTCACAGCTGGTTTTCTTGAACTGAGAATGGACACCATGTCTTTTTTTATCTGCTGCAACACTTTCCTCAGCTCTGCATTTTCCAGCACGAGTTCTCTCTGGCGAGCGTCATAGTCGCTCAGCAGAGTCTTATACATTTCCCCTTCGTGCCTTATGAAGAGAAACACAGGTCTCTTATCAGTTAGACAGTTGCGCTCAATTTAAGAGGAAACATCCAAGATTAGTGCCAGCCATGTTTGAGGTTCATGCTGCCAAAAATGTTCATTAGAGTGACCTAAAAAACTGACAAAGGCACTAATCTGCTTCTTGTTTGAGGCTCCAAAGTATAAAGACTAACATAGAGGAGTTTCTCTGATCCAGAAAAGGTTCACCTATGTATCTGGGGTTCTCAGAGTGCCATTGGCCACCCTTACTAACATTTTATGCAAGCAACAAAGAAGATTGAGCAGAGGGGTCATTTCTCTAATGCCAACTTTCCACTCTCCAGTCATCTTAGTCGCACAGGTCTAGACACCAGTGTCTCTAGGCGAGTGGTTATTGGAGGTTGCTGGTGAACATAATCACAAAGAGGTATGCAGTGATGCACCAAAGACCACCTT